TTCATTTTGCCCGCCGAAGGGTTGAGTGTAAAAAGTCGGCTAAAATAGCTCGCGCACTTATTCGAGTGATTGATATTTCGACAATTTCTATCCTTTTATACTGTAGGGAGGCAGCTGGTATTGAGAGAGTGGGCATCTATTATTTTTTTAAGTTCTCTGGCGGAGGTAAGGGTGGTTTTATCGACACAAATATTCCTTTCTACGATATTCCTAAATATATTTTAAACCTCAAGTGAAGTTGTTTTTCCAAAATAATCTCCAAACTAATATTAAATCCTCTCCACGGGTTTACCGCTCATAATGTTGCTAATGTAGAAATAAAACAAGCAAAAGATTTTATTTAATATTGGAAAAAGATGTTTTATTAAATAAGTTTTGTTTATTGTATAGTCTAAATAATGTTTTTTTTTTGTAATATTTTCATAATTTTGTTATTCATGTATTATCACTCTTGTTATGTAAGTATGCGTAAGTAGTATGTACCGTAAAGAGAATACGTAATAATTATGATATATATGTATGTATGTATGTTGGTAATTAAATGTATATAGTAAGTATGTATTTTATTTTTATATTCTTATTGAATTTTTCGGTTTTTTCATAAAGTTTTCATTTTTTTTAACAAAACATATTAGAATATTTTTAATATATGTGTATGTATGTATGCTCTTAAATATATGCAGATGCTTTAGTTAGTTATGTAATAGAGAAGAAAAATTTAGCGGTAAATACTAATGCTATTTTCTTTTCAATGTTAAAATATTTTAAAAATTATTTTGTTTTATTGGCCGCACACATTTTTTTTACATTATTTATGCAAAACAATTGGAACAAAGTTATCAACAACATTTTTTAAGTTTATTTATTTTAATAAAGAATTTTTTTTTTTTTGACAAAATTATATTTTTCAAGAATTTTGTCTTAAAAAAGGAAAAAAGTTTATTATTACTCTCTTGCAAAAAAGTCTTGAACAATATTTTATGCCACATACAAACAGCTGATTCTTATTTTTCGTTCAAGCAATTGCAGTTCTTTTTACTTACAATGTACATATATGTATTTTTTTTATTTTTACTATGGAAAACATAAAACACTTCTAAGAGTTTTTTTGTTTGTTTGAAACTCAACTATGAACTAAACTGTCTTTAAACGTTAGTATGTGTTTGTTTATCTGTGGAAAATGTTCTTAGCTAAAAGCTTAACTAAATCGTTTATGCTTATGTTCATCTCTTATTTTTCGTAACTAAAATGGAAATATATTATATATTTTATATAATTTTATTTAGTAGAAGTATTTAGTTTCTATCTTTATAAACTTTTTTTTTAACAAAAAAACTATCTATGCATATTTTGTTTCTTCTTAATTATAACTTCATAAGTGTTTAAGTTATTTAGCGAATGTTTTTGCCTATAACATTAGAGTGCACTTTTTATTGAAAAATTAAAATGTTACACATTTTCGTTATTTTATTAAAAGCTTTAAGCTTGTATTTTAACAAAATTAATATGCTTAGAATCTGTGTAAAAATATGCATTGCATGTATTTATATTCAAAAATGTTATTTTAGGCTTTTGAGTATGGTATGTTCGTATGTCAATAATTATGTATTGACAATTATATGTTAGACATTTCATCGCCGCTATGCTAAGCCATTAGATACCTAAATCGATTAATTACAACAAATAGTTTTTAATTTTTTACTTTAATTTAATTTTATTTCATTTTTTAGTAAATTTCATATTTTAACATTTTATTATATCATTTGTTATTTTATTTAACTTTTTTCATTTATATTTTATTTTGTTTTATTTAACTTAATTTTTTTATTATTTTATTTTATTTTATTTTATTTTATTTTATTTTATTTTATTTTATTTTATTTTATTTTATTTTATTTTATTTTATTTTATTTTATTTTATTTTATTTTATTTAATTTTATTATATTTTATTTTATTTCATTTTACTTTCCAATTTTTTTGTTTTATGTATGTTATTGTATGCCTGATAGAACAATTTTGATTACATCTACGTTGTGGATTTTAGCATTGATTAAGTACGCAGTTGTTTCCATTAATCTTTGTTTTCAGTTGTATTGTAGTTAAATTTGCTTTGCTTTATGCTATCTTTTTTGCCTAATAATAGCTTATGGAAACATTATTTTTTAATTATATATACAAAAATTTAAACTATATAAAAAATGTAATTTATTGAATTATGATACTATTTTAAAAAGATGATATATTTGATTTATTTATATTAAAATACAATAATAAATGTAAAATTAAAACGGAATTATTTTTATGAAAAATATTTACGTCATTTGCTTGTGTTTTGTTTCATGCTACGGCACTTTTTTTCTTATATTTTCAGTAATTATAAATTTTAAAAAGCTAATTTCTATTTTTTATGGCTAATATATGGAAATATTAATAATTTTATTATCCCTTGCGGACAGAAAATTTGATTTTTATGAAAAATTTGTTGTTTTCAAGTTAATAAATTATTTATAAAATATTCAAAATGTGACATACTGCCGTTAGAAGGTTATATCAATGGGATATAATCATAATTAAAAATTATTTGTTATTATATTATTTTATTGTTAATTACTGCATACAGCTTTGGGATATTTTAAATATTCCACATAAGCAAATTCAATTTTTTTAATCAATATATGTGTATTTTAATATTTCCTTTAAAAATGTTTGTATATGTTTGCAGCGAAATTTAAGAATTCAACGTTAATTTGCTTGCTTTAATATTATGTTGAAACTTAAGCTTTAGCTTTTTAATATACATACATGTGTATGTGTGTAAGCGTTACTTCTATAATATGTGCTTTATTTAAATATATATATATATATATATATATATATATATATATATATATATATATATATATATATATTTAAGTAATAAATATATATTTTCAAACATTTTACATCAACCATGGCTTTGTATTTTCATTATTGCAACAACAATGTATTTTTTTATGCTAAAATCAGAAAAATGAAATATTTTATTACTTTCCTAATTTCGTATATAATTTATGCGCATTTTTATTAAAGTTTAATTGCTTTGCTGCAAATAAAACAGAAAAGCTTATTTAAAAAAGGCTTTTTCTTTCCTTTGAGGAAATACTTTTCACATGACTTTTAATAATAAATTTTATAAAATTTATGACTATTACATTAAGTTTTTTGCCTAATAAATTTTCCACTTATAGATATACATATATGTATTAGCGTAAAATTATTTCATTCATCATTTTCAATGCATTTGCAAATCATTTTTTTGCATAAATATTTAATTTAAATTTGTTTACTTTAATGCAAATAAATATTTTTTATTTTTTTATTTTCGTACTTATAACTACTTATTTGTTATTTAGCGATAATTTTTATTGAATAATAAACAGAGAAACATTACATGTATGTATATAGGTTACGTCGAATTTAAGACTTTCATTGTGTAATATATTTTATTTATATGTTTTTGATCTTAAGTAAGTATATTTATATATTTCTTACCGTTAGTGCTAATTATGTTTGTCATTTTAATTTTTTTTGTTGGCATTTATTGTTGTAAAATTCCACTTAGAATTAAATTAAAAATTGTTTTCTTTAAATATTTATATTCATTATGTTTTAAATAAATATTTTAATTAAAATATATAATTTATAAAATATTTAAATATTTTTTCCATATTAAGCTTTAACGAGAGAATGTTTTTAATGCCATGTGTTGGTTGGATTATAACGGCAATTAGTGTTGCATATAAGCATATTTTTATGTACGATAGATATACATATAAGAATATAGATATATATATATTATTATATATATTAGATATATTATATACATTTAACAACATATAAATATATATAATTTAAATATATAATGTATACCCATAGAAACATAAATGAGTTGCTACAGTTTCCTTGTTTCCTTGTGGGTGGCCTTTGGCACGTGCGGCAGAATGTGAGAGCAGCAGCGTGGGAAATAAATTTCAAACAAAATTGTTGTTGTCGCTCTGGAAATTTTTAATAGTGAATGCCGATGTTATGAATGCAGTGCCTAAACCTTGCATGAGTGCGATAAGGTAATAACTTTATTGTCGCTTGATTTTCCAATTATCATAACGCTGCTCTTGAGAACGCCTAAAAACACACTACACTTTTTCGTCTATGAATTAAATTGTTTCTAAATATTTATTTATTATTCTGGAATGGTCGTAAGTACTTTCACTTCACAATGCTTCATGTCTACATAAAATTTAGAAATCAAAAATAAAATGTAAAATAAATTTGAAATTATTAAAAAAAAAAATTTAAAAAATTTAAAAATTAATTTTAAAAAAATTAAAAGAAGTAAATATTAAAAAAATTGAATTTAAAAAAAAAATAAATATTAAAAACAAATATTTTAAACAATAAAAAATGCAAACAAAAGGAAATAAAAAGAAAATTAAATAAAGATTATTAAAAATAAAATTTAAAATATATTGAAAAAAATTTAGAAACACTAAAAAATTAAAACAGAGATATAAAAATAAAACAAAAAATATAAGAAATAAAAAAGAATTTAAAAAATTTAAGGGAAATACAAAAAAATAACAACAGTGATAGAAAAATAAAACAATAAATGTATGCCATTAAAAAAATTAAAAAAAAAAATTTAAAAAAAAAAATTAAAAAAAAAATTTAAAAAAAAATAAAATAAAAATTAAAAATTATTTATTAAATCTCTCGCCCGCTCACCCAACCACCTCTACGCTTCTCTGCTAACAATATATTTGTTCAATTCTTTCCTCACACATTTTATAAAATTATCTACATGTACATATATGTATGTATGTATATATTGGTATGCCTTCCACATTATCAGCTTGACTTTAACTTGATTTTTTTTCGATTTTTTGTTATTTTTATTTAAAACATTTTAAATGCAGTTTTTGTTTCAAAAGTAAGGGTTTCTGGTAGAAAGTTAATATATATGTATGTATGTAAGTAATAATAGTAGAAAAAAAGGAATAAGCTTGAATGTATAAATATTTATTTATTGGTTAATGTTGAATCAGTAATAATGTGTATGGCTTGACATATATATGTACATACATATATGCAGCTAGTGTTGTACATATTGCAAGAGCAAACCGTTAGTTGTTTAATAACGCCATACAAACGGCAAACGTCGAGACCTTTTAGCGGCCGAATATGTGCCTAGTAATTGCCTAATAAAGGTAGACAACTAGCCAACGAACAGCCTCGACGACGCACTTCCGCTATCAACACCGCGTCCACCAAACATGCAATGCTTGAGTGTGCTCTGGCCACAATTGGCCGCAATGCCATTAGCATTAATTCAATTTCCGGTTACTCACAACAACAACAATATTACATTTGAGTAAACAAATGAACTACAACCCTCGCGGCTTCGTCCTCGCCTTTGCCTATTTCGCTGTCTTTCACTCAACTCTACACGCTTCTTGCTCTACCATACACTTACACAGCGAAATCTCCCTCACCCCATGACATCTTGTAGTCGTCTATATTGAATAAATCTAAGATATCACCAGCCGCACCAAAGCTATCACTACCACCTGCATTGCCCACACTCTCACCCATGCCACCCATGCTACCCATGCTACCCAAGCCCATCATTGTGCTGCCATCGCTAAGACCACATATTGACATTTGTTCGCTCACACCCATTCCCATAGAGTTAGAGTTGTTGTTGGCTTGCATGCCGCACGACGACGGTGAAGAGTTGGCGGTTAGAGGCATTAAGCCAACGCCAACACTACCGGCGGCGCTGCCAGTGCCGACACCGCAAACACCGCTCACCATACCACCGCCAATGCCCAGACTCAGATTGCAGCCACCATTCAGCATGGCGTTACCGCTGACGACGCTATCACTACCGCCAACACCACCGCCAAATGGATGGGGTGGCGTGTTGATGTTGGAGTCGGGCGAAAAGGAGGCGAAACTGAAAGAGCCGAGCGGATTATCGAAATCATCGCAAACATCCATGGGCGTAGCATTAAAATGATTATCGTTGGCGTGCGTGTGTATGGGTTCGTTGTTGTGTTGACTCGAGGAGCCAGAGCCGCCAACTTCATTGAGACAGTTGTTATTGTTGCTGTTGTTGTTGCTGTGTGGAGTACCAGCTACGACCATGTCATTCATGCCAGTACTCAGCATGCTGTGGTTGTTGTTGCTATTGGTCGACAAGCCTTCTTGGTCGCTCACTTGCGCCAGTTGTGCGACAAAGCTTTCAGCATCGAAATCCACGTCCGTCGAGCTCAACATATCACGACCACAGTTATCGTTGCTGCCATTGTTGTTGTTGCTCATGTGTTGCATGTGATGGTATTGCTGTTGCTGCTGTTGTTGGTGATGATGTTGCTGTATAAGCTCATTGATCGATGGCTGCAAACTGGGATTCATGTCACGCCTCAGACCATTCAGTGTGGCGGACGACGATGAGCTCGACGACGTCGACGACGACGACGACGAGGGCGAGTCAACGCCATTGCCACACTTGCAGTCACCGCTGGAATGATGTAAATGCTGCTCTTGGTGGACAGTATTAACGGCTCCTATGCCGCCGCCGGCCACTCCGCTACTCGTGATATGCGCTGGAAAATTGCTTGCATCATCACCACCAATATCCATCTCCAACTGCTGTGACATCAATTCGAACAGTTCGATTTCATCAAAGTGATTAAGTTTCGCGTCCGGGCTGCCGACTGCGTGTGACATAACCTTTTCCGAGGATGTACTTGCCTTGCTGAGCATGTCGTGATGTGTAGGCGATTGATGTTGTCGATGTTGGTGTTGCTGGCTGAGGACCAGTGGCGGTGGCGGTGGTGTGGAATGATGTTGCTCCAGGAAAATGTCAAACGTCTTAGCCACACTTTCAGCATCAATATGAGTGTCCGGCTGCAGCGGCGAGGTCATATCGATGTTATCAATAAAGCCGGTGTGAAGTGGTGAACTCATTGCTGTGGAGGGCACATCACTGTCACCGCTCAACATTTGGAAAACACTGTCCATATCACGTTGCGTCTGCTCGCGCTGCTGCTCCTGTTGGGTAAGCTGATGCTGATGCTGACGCTGTTGTTGTGTGCCGCAGGGCGTTGTGTCCATCGGCTGTGCGGATATATTGCACTCGGGCATCGGACTACTTTGTGGCTCTCGTTTAGGTATAAGCCCGCCTGAGGCGGCGAGCAGATCTGCAGCACTTTGGACGTTTACGTTGGCTGTGCTGAATATTAGATTGCCGCTCATGTCGGTCATAAGTGCATTACTGCCGCCCGGCGTCAGTGGCGTGACGGGTGTGATGGGTTCCAGTACGTTCTCCGGTAACTCTCCTTGTTTGACGAGTATGTCCAACACGTTCGCAGCTTTCTCCGACTTCACAGCACTCTTGCGCTTGCTGGTCGTCTGCGTAGTGACTGAGTTAGTGGTATGACCCTGTGGCGTGTTGCGATCGGTATTGGGTTCTTCCTTGATTTTGATCTGCGCCAAATTGGCCTTAGCCGCCAGCTGCTTGGTTGCTTCCTCGTATTGTGGCGGCGGCGGTGGTGGCGGAGGTAGGTTTTGTGGCTTTATGTCCAATTGTATGATCTGCTGTGTGTGGGGCTGGAAGACGCGATTGTGATATTGCTGCAATTGCTGTTGTTGTTGTTGTTGTAGTTGTAATTGTTGCAGTTGCTGCTGGGTAATCACCGGTTTCGCCTCGATCAAATGCTGTTGACGCTCATGACCGCCCGGTGTTGCTATGGGAAAGAGTATGCTCGGCAGCGAGCTCGTGCGCTGATGGCCATTCAACAGCTTCTTGGTGGCCGGGCTTGCATTCGCGAGCGAGATATTACCGATCGTGTGCGCCGTCATGTGCTGATCGTTCAAGCCGACGAGGAAGATGGTCTGGTTACCCTCGTTCCACACCAGGCCAAGATTATTGTGCGTTTTCGCTGTTAACGGTATTTGATTAGCGAGTATTGTTGTTGTGTTGGCATTTACATTGGCAGCATTGTTGTTACATTTATTTGCCATATTGTTGTTGGAATTCTTTTGACGCGTCGCATTCGGCAACTTTTTGCACTCGTCGACCTTCGTCGCTGCAACTGTTGTTGCCGAAGTAACAGCTGTTGGAATGAGTAGAGTTTGTGTCTTTTGGTTGGTGGTGGTGGCGGTGGTGAGTAGACGAAGTTGAGCTTGCGCCTGTGCCTGAGCCAGAGCTTGAGCCTGCGCGTGTTGATGTTTTTGTGCCTGCGCTTGAGCCGCGGCGGCGGCTGCTGCCGCCGCTTGCTTTTGCTTTTGTATTTTCGCCTCCAGCTGTTGCTTCACCACCATTTTCTGCGACATCGCTTGCGGAGTCACTGTCGTTGTGTTGTGTTGGTTGGCAGCTGCTTTTTGTGCGGCGGCGTTGGCTGCGCTGGCCTTGGCAGATTGTGACTTCACGGCCACCACCTTTGTGGCGGTGGGGGTTAGGGTTATATTCTCCTTTATTTGCGGCAAAACGGTGAGGGGCGCGCAGTGAGGCGCTGTTGTGGTGGTGATGAGCGTTATTTGCTGTGTTGGTAATGCGTTCACCACCTGCGCCGTGACTGTCTGCTGTTGTGGATGCAGCAGCTGCTTTTGTTGTTGACTACTCAACTGCTGCTTTTGGCGCATCTGCTGCAGCTCTTGCTGTGAACGTTGAAGTTTACGCTGGAGCTCGTCAATCTGACGCTTCTGCTCACGCACCAGTTCATCATTGGTGAGTATGATGGTAGCGGCTTGTGGTTTTGGCTGCAGTATAGTCTGCAATGGCACGGGTCGTGGCGGATCATCTTGTTGTACTATGTCCATTTGCTCGTGTTCGTAATTCCGGCGCTCCGGTGACATAGCAGCTGCTTGTGGTGAGTTCACAATCATGGCGACGGGCAATTCCGTTGTTACGCTGGAATTGGCGTCCATAGCCTCAGTCGTCGAAGTGGAGATGATCTCTGAGGATGCTGTGGAGGTTGGCGTATTCACGATGGTCGAGCACTCGGTGACTTCCAGCGGCAAATAAGGTTTCAAACGCTCAATGAGTTGAGGTTTTGGGCCTGACACAGGCAAATTGCGTCGCTTCAGATGCATCTTCAAGTCGGAAACCTTCATTTTCTCCAAACGCGTTATTTCTGTGGTCGAACAAGTAGACTCAGCATAGCTCGTAGCTGGACTTGGTGGTATGGACGATATCACGGAGAGCGCTGGAGATGGCATCGGCGGTGGACGTGGCGTGGAAATAATGGAGAAAGTCGAGTTTGCTGGTGACGCCGTGCTGCTTGCACAATCGCTTACCGATGTCACGGCAGACAAAGGAGTAGCTGGTGCTGGTGAGGGTAGCGCTGAGGGGAACTTAGTCATTGTGACTGCTGTTGTTGCCGCGGCGGCATTCGTCTTAGCCACAGTGGTAACCAAACCACCTGAAACACAGGCATTTGCGTTCGGACTGGTCACTGCCGCGCTGCTGGCTGCTGGAACTATTGTCTGGTTCTTATTGAGTGTCTCAAGAAATTTAAGCAAACAATTTTGTTGCTCCAACATCAATTGATAGGAGGTCTCCTCTGGTTGACTGCTCTCGCTACACAGTTTCTGTGCAGCATTTGGCGGCCCTTTATATTCATGAAACTTAATGGTACGCGCCTTGGATGTCGGTTTCGACTTGGATTTTTTTCTATTCTTCTCCTTACCCGGCGCATCCGATTTGGCAAGCGACAACTGACAACTCAACGGCGGCAAAGAGGTCAGCGTTTGCGACGGTGAGGCTATGGAAGAGAGTGGACTCAATGTCGAAGTGGTCGATGTTAGCGAAGCGGGTGAGGAGATCATCGGCAAGAAGTTACCACCAGGGCTAGCAGATGGGCCAGCTACCGACTGGCAAAGCTCTTCAAATAGATTCGCTGTCTCTTGTTTGACTTGTATGCTGGCGGCGTTAAGCCCCGCCGATGTAGTTGGTGGTGGTGGCGGCGGCGGCGGTGGCACCGTATTTATTTTTGCGGTAGTGGCGCTATTACTCTGCAGCAAGGGTGCAGATGTTACCACTACGGGACCACCACTTGTTGGTATGGTCAGCGCAACAGTAACTATGCCCGCCGAGGCAGCAGCGGCCTGTAAAGCATCACCAGTGCTGCCACATGCGCTGATCCGCTCATCGACACGTGGCGGCGTCTGACGTGTGTCGCTCTCAGAGCTCTGTGAGTCCTCCTCATAGGTAACGTAACTGTGTGGATGTTGTGGTCGCGTCAGTAGACCCTCGCTTGTGGCCTTGAATGACACCAAACCCTCTTTGACAATCTTCTCAATTGGTTTCTCGGTATGCAGAATATTCTTCTTGATCAGCTCAAGTGGTCCCGGCCGGTGTTGTATCTGCGAGTTGAGTTGGTCGGCCAAACGTGCTTTCTTCAGCATACGCTGTTTCTCCGCCAAACTCGGATCGATATGACACTCATCCTCCTCCAGTATGTGTCGTCGCTCTAAGTCTTCGCGATTTGGTCGCTGTTGTATTTTCGCCTTCAGCATGTCGCTGGTTTTGGCGCGTTCCAATTGTTTGCATTGTTCGTGTATGGCGGGTGAGGTTTTCAGGGCTGCAACGAGAGGCAGATATTTGCGTATGAGTGAAGAGGTTAAGCAAAAAGGATATTTGTTTATTGCGAAAAAGTAAATACTCTTAAAAATTAGCATAGTTATGTATGCAAAACAAATCTATTTAAAATGCAAAGTGCTGTGAAAGTGAGCTCGGCGCGTCACATGTCTGCTGCCAGGCTGTCATGCTGCGGCATGTGCAAGGTTGTGTTGGTTCATGTGATTGTATGTACGCCTAAAAATATACACTGTCAGCGGCAAATGTCTAAGGCATTAATTTTCCATCAATCGTTCAAATAAAGATAGATGTATGTAAATAACGAAGAGCACAAACAACAAATATATGGAATTGAATGCTTGAAAGTGGTAATTTAAATTCAAATTGAATTCGAATTTTATTTATGTATGTACACAACCATCAGCTTAAGCGGTGCAAAAGTGAAAAGTTCTCGTGGTAAAACCTTTTATCTTCACGCTATTTCAAGCAAACACTTTGAAATTAACGTAATCAATGTAAAGATGTTTGTGGTTCTAGCCCATTCATGCTTTTATCGACCTTTAAAAATAGTCCGATGTGACTGCATAGCCTTCATTCCCTTCACGACGCATGTAAAGGTATTTATGACGAGATAAACCTAGATGGCGGGGTCTATTTAAAGAAGTTTCCGTCTACTGGATTACTGTAGAGTTTTTCACACATCAGCCTGTCGATTGTCTAAGCTCAATGGTAATTTTTAGAAAATTGATTTTTAGCAATAAAATCGGAAGCAGTAAACGATTGCAGCATAAACGTGATAGCTATGCAGTTCTCTCTCAAGCCATAATGTGTGCTTGTACTGAGTAGCATTGCGACTTTCGCATACAGCCTCCTTTGCGAATGTCACGTATTTTAGAAAAGTAACTAGGAATTTCTAGAAGAATTTCAGCGGTACTACAGAGCCCGTTTGATAGCCTAAGTGAGCTGAAGACAATAACTTTGAAACCGCATAGCCAATTTTCGGCCGAGCTCCTGTTCTAGTTTGTGGTATGCATTTTGCCCTAATATCGTAACTTAATTCCTCGATAGTATAGTGGTTAGTTTAATTGCGAAGTCACTTAGCCCCAATATCGTAACTTAATTTTGATAGTACAGTGGTTAGCTTAATTGCGAAATCTCTCAGCCTTAATATCGTAACTTTATTCCTCGATAGTATAGTGGTTAGTTTCATTGCGAAGTCACTTAGCCCCAATATCGTAATTTAACTTCGATTGTATAGTGGTTAGTATCATTGCGAAGTCACTTACCCTCAATATCGTAACTTAACTTTGATAGTATAGTGGTTAGTTTATTTGCAAAATCTCTCAGCCCCAATATCGTAACTTTATTCCTCAATAGTATAGCGGTTAGTTTAATTGAGAAATCTCTCAGCCCCAATATCGTAACTTTATTCCTCGATAGTATAGTGGTTAGTATCATTGCGAAGTCACTTAGCACCAATATCGTAACTTATTTCGATAGTATAGTGATTAGTATCATTGCGAAGTCACTTAGCCTCAATATCATAACTTAACTTCGATAGTATAGTGGTTAGTTTAATTGCGAAATCTCTCAGCCCCAATATCGTAACTTTATTCCTCGATAGTATAGTGGTTAGTTTCATTGCGAAATCTCTCAGCCCCAATATCGTAACTTCCTCGATAGTATAGTGGTTAGTATCATTGCGAAGTCACTTAACCTCAATATCGTAACTTAACTTTGATAGTATAGTGGTTAGTATTATTGCGAAGTCACTTAGCCCCAATATCGTAACTTAACTTCGATAGTATAGTGGTTAGTTTAATTACGAAATCTCTCATCCCCAATATCGTAACTTAATTCCTCTTAATGAATTAGAGATTGGTATAATCATGAGGTTCGTTTTTTTATAAATCCTCTAGAGCAGTGGTTGTTATAGCTGGGAAGTTGATTTAGTATAACTCCCTGATAATATAGTGGTCAGTATCAACAGCACAACTTAATTATAAAGATTTTCAAATTACTTCCCATAATTGTTTCCTCGACAGTACAGCGGTTAGTATTAAAAGCCAAAATGTTTTGACAATGACAAAATTATTTCAATTACTACATATGTACATACATAAATTTATACTACAAGCGTAAAAAGCACAAATTATCATACACTACAAAAACAATAATTTCAACGACTAACACATGTCTAAGAACTAAAGTAGACTAGAATGTGAATGAAACACTACATTTGTCACTACATTACAAGCACAATAAAACAAGGCAAAAACAAGTATTGAGAATAATTTCAGTAGTTACTTACGTGGTATGATTCCCTGTTCGACGAGCTGTGAATGTGGTCGTCTCACCATTAATTTCACTTTAAGCGCTGCACCGACGATCAACCCAAAATCGTAGACACATATCAACGGATTTGCGTTGTTGTAAGCCAAGTCACAAGTGACCAAGAGCATTATTATCATGCCCCATTTGTTGATTGTATTGCATGATGTCGAGCGAAGGCGACGAAAAGCAGCACATCAGTGAAAGCGTAGAAAAAGTAGAAAGAAAAACAAAACATATTTATATATACTTAATAATCTATGTACATACATATATGTACGAACATATGTGGTATATAAAATCATACACAAGAGAACTGTGACTTGGAGAGCAGTTGGTAAAATACATATGAACATACATATAAAGGGTTTTCCAATAAGAGATGTTATTTTCCATAGTATGCTGTTACAGTAGGTGTCACCTTTGAGGTTGTAATTTTTATACAATGGACAACAAAAACTATGTCGTTAATAAAAATGGAATGATACACGCTTTAACAGCTGATTGAAATTATTAAAATTCATTATAAAAATGGTAGCCAAATGCTGTAGCCCAAAGTGTTGAAGAAACCCCAAGTTTATCCATTCCCCATTGTTCTTCTGAATTGTGTCTTCCACAAACGTCACTACAACGTAGTTTGCATTATGATTTGGCTCTAAAGGCTTATAAGATTCAGTTTGCAAGAGAATTCAAGACGGCCGATCATCAACAACTTGCTTATTGGGTCCTTGATAAGCGTGAAAATGGTCCGCAATTTCATCGAAAAGTCATCTCGACTTATCAGGCACATTTCCACCTCAAAAGCTTCATCAATAAGCAAACCAATGATTTATTGTAGAAAAACCTCTCCATCCTCTGCGCTCATCTGTTTGGTGCGGTTTATGGTCCGGCGGGGTTATTAGACCTTACTTTTTCCAAAATAAGGCTGGAGGAATTAATAGTGAATGGATTGGCTAACTCTCAACAAGATGGAGCTACGTTCCATATAAGCAAAAAAATCATTGATCTTTTGAGAGAAATTTTCCGGACCGTGTTATCTCTCTAAGAGGTGATCGTAATTGGCCACCGAGATCTTGTAATTTACCACCTTGCGATTTCTTCCTTTCAGGCCAACGTCGATTCAAAAACTAAATGATGAAATTTGTGAAGCCTTTCAAGACATACAGCAGCCACTCTGCGATTTGCTGATGGAAGATTTCGTATAAAAGGTATGTTCCTGTAAGCGTAACCGTGGCGGTCATTTGGCTGATATTTTAAAATCCTGGTGTTTTTCTTTACATTGAAATAAACATCTCATCATTTATTTCAAAAATGCTATTTTTCTTTCAATATGAAATTAACACCTTCCTATTGGAAACCCCTGTACATTCATACCTACATTATAGTGTCTACAGAAACAATCAATATGTGCCACGCACAACTGTAAATACATTTAAGAATCACTGTAAATTTCAACTAGCTCAACCAAAAGCTTTAACTTCATTCACTTCAGTTGTAATATAAAATAAAAAAAAAAACGACAACAAAACAAAAACAAAAAACAATAAAATTTTGTGCGTCAGTGGACTATTATAAAAAGGTATGAGTTCAAAAAATCCACTACAACTCTGTTTTGGATTTCGTTACAAAAACGGAACTACAAATTTAATATGAGAAAAACTGAAAACAATTTTGATATCCGCCCAAACAACTTCCTGACAGCACAAAAACCGCAAAAAAAACATCTCCGTCCCTACAATTGGGAAAGTACTTAAACAAAGATACAAACATATCTATGTGCTTGTGTACAAATTTTTAAAGCAGTTATAGCGTAAGCAAACAGAGATAATGAATGCCACAGCTGTGTAGGGTGATAAAAACCATGAGCCAAAAATCCAAAAATCCAAAAACAACAATAATACAAGTATAAAACAAAGTAATTTAAGTAAAAATAAAAATAAAACGAAATAAAAAAAGACAATAGAAAATAACATAAAATGATGAGAGTAATGGCCAACAGCACAACAGGACGAAGAGTAACGAAGTAACTGAGAAGTGGGAATATTTTTTTCATTTCGCAGAAATAGACTGCTTTGCAGACTGCCATACGAAGTTGATGTTAAAGCAAGAAACAAAAGGTTGGGGGTTAACATCATAAGGACTTAGGAGGGACTAAAAGGAATTAGTCAGAACTAGGAAGCAGCGTTGACAGGATAACTCACGCTAAATAATAAGAAAAAAGACAAAAAAAAAATTAATGGTCGAGAAAAGCTAAGAACGATAGCAAATGTGTTTTTTTTTTTTTTTTTTTTTTTTTGGGGAAGAAAGAAGTGAAAAATAAAAAAGAAGAAAACGATGCCACACAAAAGGCGCGTATTTTTTATTATTTTTTTTTCTTTAATTTTAAAAGTGAGGAAACTCCGCACAGCATTAAAAGCGACGAAAATTAAATCCAAAATTGAAGGAATTAAAATTCAGTAAAAAATATGCCATAATGCATTTAAACAAAAAAAAAGTATAAGCAAAAAATAAATTTTTAGAGATATTTGCAGAGGGCTTTGACCACAGCCAGTGTCAGGTTTTTAATTAATTAATTTATTTATTTATTTCAACAGCGTGAAAGTAGATTTCGTGGTGGCAGGACATACAGGAGTCACTGCTGATGGACATAACCTCGATTATATGTAACTGTGCAGGGTGATGGCAAGTCAAGGGTCTTAATGTCTTAATAAACTGCTGAATATGTGTGGATGTTTGTGCTGCGTTGATGAATAGTCATGCGTGTGCAAGTAAGCAAGAAAGCTGTTATTTTTAAGACTTACTAAAACAGACGAATACAAATGTATTAAAATATGTAAATATATATATGCGGTTATATTAAGCCAAAGACGCAACCAGTTTAAGGAGCTTGAAATAATATTAGCACAAAAAATTTAATGAGTTTATGAAATTGAAATTTATTTGCTTACGGTTAGAATCGTATGATTTGATAATCACAGGGCTTATTGATTTAAGGCGAGGTAGTAAAATAGTAGCTAATTTTATGAAAGCAAACTAGTATATATATTCATTGCGCTCTTAACCACTGAGGCGATTTTCGTACGAGCTTCTCATCGAGTTATTAGTTTTGCGTCATGATGTTTCTCCATAAAATGGAGGGACCTGCAGATCGCAGGGCTTGACATTACTGCCGAGAGTTGGCCGGAAGATACACGTAATAACATGCTTTTAAACTTCAATCGATCGCAACTGTGGAACTTTTATTTAGTACTTAATTTTAAACAGCTTATATTGATTTATTCTTTTTTCTTTTATTTTATTTTATTTTAATTTATTTTATTTTATTTTATTTTATTTTATTTTATTTTATCTTATTTTATTTTATTTTATTTTATTTTTTAGTGATATTTTCAGAAGAGTTGAGCGTACATGTCGTATGAGCTACCAAAAAATCCAATTATTGTAAATTACCCATTTATGGCAAGTAAGGAAGTTATCTCGTAATGCAATTTCAATATATAAATGGCTACTGCAGATAACAGGTTGATAAATTTTACAAATCTTTTACGGCCAAATCCACCGAAAAACAAATTACTTCCTTTTAGTGTACTTTCCTGCGAGGTTACGACAAATTTAATTTTATAAGCCAGAAAAATAAATGCACAACAATGTAATATTTGGCTGATAAAATGAAAACTAATAATGCCAAAAAGAACAAATATTTCCTCCAACGCACGTGTCAACAGGTTAACAGAGTAAATAAATATTAACACTAAATGGAGGAAAAGTGAGTGCCGCAAGTGCGTATCTGTGTGTGCACGTCACCTTTGGTTCATCTGTACTTAACATACTAATTTTCCGTTTAGTTATTATTAATATTTTTTTTCTTGTGCCAAAGAATCACCGAAAATGCCTACATGCTTTCATGAATGGATTTTAATTGAAAATGCAAACATACACACAATGCGCACAGCGCCAGCGCCATCAACCCTCACCTCACAACATTTTGATGTGTGCCTGTCAAATATGACGTTGATGACAACCAACTGGCGGGTAACTACATACGTGTACATAGCAATGTAGATGGTGTACGGAGCTGCCTGACGGTCGTTCGAAAATCAATTACTCTCATGGCGGTACGCATCAAACGCGGAACCTGTTTGTGAGCTCAAAGGTTGCGTTGCCAATATTTTCAATGATGGTAATTTTTTTACGCAGAAAATTGGGAACACAAAAACAAATTGCGCGAATTTAGGTTAAAAGCTAGACTAAGTAAATAGAAAAAATCACAAATCATAGGCGCAAATATGGTTGTTTATTGAAAGTAGGACGCAAGTGACTAAGCGACTAAGAAAAATGTATGCGCTGATGAAAATAGTTTTTGATTTAAAAAAAATAGGGTAACTTTATGTCGAATTTGTGGATTTTTGTATTGTTTTGTTTTTGTTTTAATCTTTATTTCTAATTTAGTGTGTAGGAAATAAACTTCCTAATCAGAATAGCAATATCATTAAAAAATAATATTTTGTATATGTGTTCTGACACATTTTATGGTAAAACATATTTTATGCTGAACCATATTTTATTTTACCCATTTTTTCCAACTATGATTTGGTCATTTTTGGTGGCATAGAAACGTGTTTACATTAACCTCAATTTTTTTGGGCTACATACATACATATATATATATATTGTAACTTTCTATCAGGCGTTTTGAGAATTATTTGATGATATTTTTATAAATTATAGCGTTTTATACATCATAGTTATTTCTACCCGTTGCCATTGTTCAGGGTTGAACGAGCAAAGCAAGCTGGCAGCCGAGACAATAGAAACAAATATCAGGCTTATATTTCAATGAGCAACATTATTTTTGGCGGCATTTTATGTTTCATGCACATTATAATGAAGATATATTGTAAGCTATATTTTATGGTTGGACAAATATTATGTTAAGCCATATCTAATGGTTAAGCAAATTTTATGTTCCAGTATTTTTATGGGAACACGCTCACAATTTATTGTACTTTTTGATTATTGCAAATTTTATATCTAGACATATTTATT